GTATTTTATTACTATATCGGCACTTGTATACTTGCAAGTTTAGCCCGACCAGCCGCCGACTTCTACTCAGGCGCCGTCGTCTTCGATCGCCGCATCTGGCGCGCCATTTACTATCACGGCTGCGCAGGAGTCTTTTTCTGAGGCGCCCGCATCTACGATGGTGCAGGAGCAGCCCTGTTCAGGCCAAAGGTTTGACTTGCCGCCACCATACTCGTCCTAGGCACCTCCGCTAACTCAGCCGGCTTCTTCATATGCTCTCTTCCATATGCCTGAACCGTTTACATGGGTTTCTTCCCCAACGGTGCCCCATGCGTTATTCCCATCGGCATCCACACCTCCGGTCCAGAATTCTCAAATTTTTGCTGGCAGTACACTCACAGGGCAGCCTAGCACTTTTCCAATTATGCCCAATTCTCCTGTTACTTGGTTGCCAGGGTTCGGTAATAACCCTCCCTTCATGTCCCAGTTAGCATCCCAATTGACCTTCTCCACACCCAACGTCACTAACATTGTGACTACACGTCTTGATGCGGTTGAAGACTACCTTCCATGGAGGACGCAATTTGAATCTTTCTTGGTATCGCATGGACTTCTTGGAATTGTAGATGACACAATTTTGGCTCCTCCTATGTACACACGTTGGATGTCTCGGGTAGAGAGGTCATCAACTCCGAATATCAACATTGGCTACGCATTGATCAAACCGTCCGGTCATGGCTATTTGCCACGCTATCTCGGGATACATTGGTTGATGTACATGATTTAAAGTTCTCTTCTCAAATCTGGACGCGTCTTCAAAACCGGTACACACATGCAAGTATTGCTCGGTCTATGGAACTCAAGCGTCAAATAACTCATGTCAAGAAGAAACCGTCTCAATCCATGGAGCAATACCTTCGTGAGATTAAGGTAATGGCGGACTCCTTGGCCACTATTAATTCCCCGATTAGTGACCGTGATCTTATTGAATATGCTCTTATTGGACTTGGTCCGCAATATGAGTCCTTAATTACCTCCGTTACGACCATCTCGGGCCTTACCTTTGATAAACTTCCCCCCATTCTTGAAACTCACGAGTGGCGTCATCAATTTTTCCGTGATCAAGAGGCCACACAGACTGTTCATCAAGCCTTTGCGGCTCCTGGAGCATCTCATAATTCTGGGCAGCAGCCTCGGGGACCTTCTGGCCGAGGGGGTGTGCAGCAGCGACCGGGAGGTCGCCATGGCGGACGTGGCAGCCGCGGAAGGGGTCAACGTGGACGGGGAAGAGGTCCGTTTCCCCCAGGGGTCTTCTTCGGCCAGTATCCTTCATATGGACAGAATGTTTATGCTGGCCAGTATGCTCCACAGCGCAGTTTTGAGATTAATTTGGGACGTGGACATCCATCTTCTGGGTTCTCTAATGCCGGTATTTGTAATCTCCCTCTGGTAAAACATACATTGCATACATCTTCTATCTATTGTACTAATATTTTTGGTGCAGGTTCTTCATCAGTTGATCCCTCTCATAATTCCCCTTTGCCCCCTATTGTGTGTCAACTTTGTTTTTCTCCTGATCATTCGGCTCTGGCATGTCCTCGATTTACTTCTGGTTCTACTCCTGCCCTTGCTGCCTTACCTACAGGAGACACAAATGAATCAGTGTGGTATCTTGATTCCGGAGCCTCGGCACACATGACACCCACATAAGGTATTTTGTCTAATAAGTCTTCTCTTGCGAACCCCATTAATGTACAGGTTGCTAATGGAACTACTTTACCGGTGTCTTAAATTGGTGATACTATTTTACCTACAGTTGGTCGCCCGCTCACTTTAAAATCTGTATACCATGTTCCTCACTTAAAATTTAATTTACTTTATATACAGAAGTTATGTGAGGATAATGATTGTACTGTTATTTTTGACAAAAATGTTTTTTATGTTAAGGACAATCACACGGGGGCAACTCTACTCCGAGCTTCTCATAAAGATAGGATCTATCCCTTCACCCTACCCAGTGTGTCTACTGCCTTACTCACTTCGTCCGCACCTGGTCAAGTCTGGCACCGCCGGTTGGGTCATTGTGGTGATAGTGTTTTGTCTACTTTACGGCACACACATCTAATAAATAATACTAGTACTTTTAATTTTTCTTGCACGTCTTGTAGACTGGGCAAATCTCATAGATTGCCATTTAATGATGTTTTACATTCGTCTACTGCTCCTTTACAATTAATTCATTCCGATGTTTGGCAGTCTCCGGTTCTTTCTAATTTACAGTTTAAATATTATGTATGTTTTATTGATGATTTTTCTCGTTTTACTTGGGTTTATCCCATGCGTAGAAAATCTGAAGTTTTTACTCATTTCTGCCATTTTCAAAACTTAGTTGAAAATTTTTTGAATTGTAAAATCAAGCGTTTTCAAAGTGATGGTGGGGGTGAGTTTGATAATACTATTTTCCATAATCATTTTCTTAAGTGTGGTATTATTTTTCAAAAATCTTGCCCGGATACCCTTGCCCAAAATGGTGTAGCAGAATGTAAGCATCGTCATATTTTAGAATTAATTCGTACTATGCTTATTGAGGCGCATTTACCTCCTCAATTTTGGGTTGATGCACTCTATGCTGCTACATATATAATTAATCGCTTACCTACTCATGTGTTGCATGGTCTTAGTCCGTATCATAAACTTTTAAATAAAATACCGGACTATGCCTTTATGCGCGTTTTTGGGTGTGAGTGTTTTCCTAATCAAATTGCCACCTCGGCAAATAAGCTATCACCTCGGTCCATCCGTTGTGTTTTTCTTGGTTATGCGTCCGGATACAAAGGATACCGCTGTTTTGATCCTATCACTGGTCGAGGCTACATTAGTCGTGATGTTATATTTCATGAGGACCAATTTCCATATGCCGAACTCTCTTCTCAAACTCCAGTCCCTTATACACCCAGTACATTATCTCCCTATAGGATGACTAATGTTAGACGTCCACTTTCCAGCCCCTCTCCTATTCCCACACTCCCTATGTCCTCACTGTCCCCTACTTTCCAGACGTTAATCCCCAGCCACCTTACTTCCTCTTCTCTTGACTTTAACCACACGGCAGACCACAAACATTCCCCATCTCAACCCTCCAGTCCGTCATCAACAACACACACTTCACTGCACAGTCCCACACCTAGTACACCGTCCCCAGACAGTCCACCGTCCAGCTCGTCTACATCCGATGGCTCGTCTGCTTCCTCATCTCCTTCTCCTGCTCCATGTCAAAATATCCATCCCATGCGCACTCGGGCTAAAGATGGCATTTTTAAACCTAAAAAGATTTTTTCTCTTACCGCTAGTGAGTGTCCCCCGGATCCTACTTGTTTTTCACAAGCAAATAAAAATTTAAAGTGGCGGGCAGCCATGGCTGAAGAGTTTAATGCGTTAATTGCCAATAAGACATGGGATTTTGGTCCTTACGACCCTAGCAAAAATGTGGTAGGTTGCAGGTGGATTTATAAAACCAAATACAATTCTGATGGGTCCATTGAGCGTCATAAGGCTAGGTTAGTTGCTCAAGGTTTTAAACAGCAAGCGGGAGTAGATTTTTCAGAGACATTTAGTCCGGTGGTTAAACCCACTACTGTTCGTCTTTTACTTTCTTTAGCTACTTCTTTTGGCTGGAGTGTCCGTCAGTTAGATGTTAAAAACGCATTTTTGCATGGCTATTTGACTGAAGAGGTATACATGCAACAGCCACAAGGTTTTGTCCATCCCTCTTTTCCTCATCATATTTGTCGCCTTCGTAAAGCCCTGTACGGTTTAAAACAAGCTCCAAGAGCTTGGTTTCACCGCTTCAGTGGTTTTTTACTCAGTCATGATTTTATTCAGAGTAAATCTGACTCCTCTATATTTGTATATCGTCGTGATTCGTGTTCCATATATATTCTTTTGTATGTTGATGATATACTTATCACAGGTAATTCCCCATCCATAGTCTCCTCATTTATTTCTACTCTGTCCCACACTTTTGCCATGAAAGACCTGGGTGAGATTCATTATTTTCTTGGTATTCAGACACTTCATACTCCTAAGGGTATTTTTCTGTCACAACAGAAATATATTTCCGATCTCTTGCGTCGTTTTCACCTACACACAGCCAAACCTGTTCGTACACCACTTCCTTCTCGTACTACTGTCTCTTTGACTGATGGAGAACTCCTGGCCGATGGTACTGAATACCGTAGCATGGTTGGTGCTTTGCAATATTTGACTATTACTAGACCGGATATTACTTATGCTATGCATCTTGTTTCTCAGTTTATGCATGCTCCTCGCACGACTCACTTAATGGCTGTGAAGCGTATTTACAGATATTTGCAAGGTATTGTTTCTGAGGGACTATGTCTGCGGAAAGGGGGTGATACGTCTCTTATTGTTGCATATTCAGATGCTGATTGGGCAGGATGTCCCGATAGTTGCCGTTCTACTACAGGTTACGCCATTTTTTTTGGAGATAATTTGATTTCCTGGCGGTCTAAAAAGCAGCCCACGATATCTAAATCTTCTACGGAGGCAGAATATCGGGCTGTGGCATACACCGTTCAAGATACACTCTTTATTTGCTCTCTTCTTGCCGATATGGGCTTCTTTTTGCCCAAACCAGTTCAACTCTATTGTGACAACGTCTCAGCATCATATTTAGTAGTGAATCCCATACAGCATGATCGAAGCAAGCATATCAAAATTGATTATCATTTTGTCAAGGAATGGGTAGCTCATGGTGACCTTATTGTTAAATACATTCCTACACAATTTCAGTTAGCTGATATATTTACGAAAAACTTGACTAGTCAGCGTTTTGAATTTTTTAAATCCAATCTGCGCGTCATGTCTTCTGCTCAGATTGAGGGGGTGTAATAGCCCAATATATTTTAGGAAATTATTGTACTTTCCATATTATCATTTTGTTATAAATACACCATGAGCCTACCTAGTTTGGTAAGCTATTATTCCCATAATACTAATCTCATATATGTTTGTCGTAGCAGGTTGAATGCTCCAGCCACTGTCATCCTTAGATTTTGACCGCCTCTTCTTGCAGGAAACGACAACCCACCTCTCAATTTTGCTGGAAGCACATCTGCCCATCTACAGTCCGCCGTTTATGTAGCATATATAGTTCTTGACGAGCGGAACCGCTCGTACAGTCCCTCCGGCCCTCATCTACTCCATCCAATTAATTAAACGCATATATAGATTTTAATTTGTGTTCACTCAAGTTCAATCAAACGAACAAGATCAGAAAAAATACTTCAAAGACCGGAGGAGTTTCAAGCAGATGCGTAGGAAACGAGAAATTAATTACTTGCTGAATGCTGAGTCAGAGTGTGAGATAGCCTTGCTGAAAATCCATGGAGAGGTAGAAGGCGTGGGTTTTTTCCCATTCCAGCTCAGCCGCACATGGCAAATACGTTGTTCCGATCTGTTGGAGACCGTTTTTTTACTTCCACTCAATTTTTATTTACGTGGCAGTGCATTCTTAAAAATAGAAAGGCCCAATAAAGATGCTCTTAACTTCTCTCCCACTTTTCTAGGCACACTCATAATTGTAAAACCATCTACCCACCAACTAGCTAGTACTTGCACGTATACTTTTTGAGGCACTTTGTTTTCTAGAAATTAAATGTATGTCTAAAAAAACTTGATAAATTAAGATCATGGTTGAAGAGAAATTAATTGGTTTGGAGATTATTTGAGATTTTCTTATGTGGAAGTGACATGACAATATTAACCCATAAAAAACCTCAAAATTGAATAGCATGAATGTGGATGCTCTAAGAAGAATGAATGTATACGGTCCCAAGACTTATGAAACTTCTCATTCCTTTTCTTCTCTCTTTTTTCTCCATTTCGTTCCATCTTCCATCTCTTTCCCTCTCGTAAGTCTTTTTTCCCTCCCTTCTTTTTTTTCTTTGTTCAGGGTTTCTCCGACAATGTTACGGACTTTTGGTTACCAGTAACTTCTATTAATTAACACGGAGTACATACGTAGTACTTCGTACATACTGCGGATTATTATTTTATTCTCGGTTTTTTTAACTTTGTTTTGTTAATGTCGATTTATTTATCCACCGACCAGTACCTTTTGCATAATGTCCTTCATATAACACATTGTCATTTTGTTTATTTGTTTGTTACTCCATATTACGGTATTACGGATTATTATCTTTATGCTTGTAACTTTATGTTGTTTTAATTATTATTAGACTTATAACTTTAGACATTTACAGTTTTAATTATTATTAGACTCGTAACTTTAGACATTTACAAATTTGGTTCTGTACAATAAATGTTTGCGATTTTAAGACTTGCCCTAAGATGACATTTTCCAAAAAAAAAAAATCAACCTAATTGAAAACATATTACTACCTCCGTTCCTTTTTATTTAGCCATCTTTGACTTTTCCAGTCAAAGGTGATAAACTTTGATCCATTATTTTAACTAATATATTTATATGAAACTTAATAAATTTATACTTTTATGATAGTAGTTGTAACAAAGATCATTTTCATATAATTTTCATATTATCAATATTGCCGTGTATAAATATATAATCGGTCAAAGTTGAACAACTTTGACTTGAAAAAAGGTGTTTGGCTAAATAAAAAGGGACGGAGGGAGTAAAACACTTTGGAGTTGTGGTAGTTATTGGTGATGGTAAATCAAGGAATCAAGGAAGAACCAGTTTAAAACTGAGTCTTAATATACATTTATTTTTTGTTCTCAATTTATTACGTAGTGTTATTATTCTTGAAGGAAGATAATACCTTCTTTATTTCAAAGTTGATCCTTTTGACAACTCTACAGCGTATTCCCTACGTATCAAAATCTTCAAGAGTCCAGAATACCAATGTAAAGAGTAATGAGTAATCTAATATATAAGTACTTTTAATTACGGAGTATTTCTTAAAGTTTTTTTTAAAGTCAATTTATGCTTTACAATTGTTGAAACTAATCCAACACGAACCGTATATCAAAATGTATATATAAAAGAGTTGAACACTCAATTTTAATGCGAAAACCCGAAAGAGTAAAAACCACAAGACTTTTGGGCTAATGTCCAATCCATTCTCTTTTTATTCATATTTTCCTCACCATTTATATTATACAAGAATAAGGTTCGTTAGAGCAGCCATTAATGGAGTTGGGAGCAAACTAGAGCCAAGTGACAGAAGAAGAATGGAAGAGACCCCAAACATGGAGGGGAATCCTCCTATAAATAGGAAAAGGGAGAGGACATGTATTTCTATCCTAATGGCCGTAATGGGCCTTACTGACCGGGCTTCATACGGGCAAGTGTATTGAGCATATCGAATAACAGTACGCCAGACTCTGCAAATATCCCAACAATAATAATTAGGGAAAATGGAAACTAATAATCCAACCTTTTAGCGGTCTTTTTTCAATAATCCCACCTTTTGATTATTCATGAATAATCCAACCTTTGCACCTCATCTTCATTCATTGGTCCCTGGTCGGTTAATGACCTACTATTCCAAGTTATTTTCTTATCTTTGCAAAATATTATCTTTGTGAAAGATGAGATTTATGGTATAATGATTTGCAAAGATAAGAAAATAGTTTGGAATAGCAGGTCATCAACCGGCCAGAGGACCAGTGAATGAAGATGAGGTGCAAAGGTTGAATTATTCATGAATAATCAAAAGGTGGGATTATTGAAAGAAGACCGCTAAAAGGTTGGATTATTAGTTTCCATTTTCCCTAATAATTATTATAAAAGTAATTGAGTACAGTCAGGGGTGGAGGCAAGGGGGGCCAGGGTGGTCATCCGACCCTCCTAAAAATTTGAGGGTATAAAGTTGTGGAACATCTTTGATTTGATATATTATGGCTCATGCAACTCATTATGAGTAAAAAGTTATTGATGGTAATATTGATTATTTTCGAAAATTTTAAAAACTACGTATAATTCACTCATTTCTTGCATGACATGACTGAGAGACAAAGCAAAGAACATCCTAGCTATCTTATTGTTACGAGTCCCTGTTTATCTAAACTACATATGAGACATTCAACTCAGATATTGTTTAAAAATGATCCATCATATTCATTCCGTATATAGTTAAGTTTCGATCCACCCTGAGCCATTTTTATGGCTCCGCCATCAAGTACGGTGTAACTTGCGTTGCTAAAACAATTAAAGGAGCAAAGGGGGGGAGATGAGTATTTTGGAATAAATTAGCTAAATATTTTGGGAATATTAGCCAGCTAAAGAATATGGAATTGAAATATTGAGTAAATAATTTGGGAATTTTGGTTCAAAATTCGCAAGTATATTATGATACGAGAATATTTGCTAAAGATTTTTAGAATACTGTTACAAAAGAAATCGAATACGAGAATATTCGCTAAATCAAACTGATTCAGACCAGACTAAATTAAACTTAAACAAATCAAACTAGACCCGTTCATACTAGATTAGAGCAGACCAAAAAAATTCAATACTAAGTAAAAACATCTTAATAATGTAGGAATTAATAGAGTTTGTTTAAAATTTTAATGCCGGAGACTACAACTGTACTCCGTATAATGTTACTCTTTTAAGTGACCACAATTATTATAAAATTTAAAATAAAAGGAACGTAGCTACAGTTCATTATTGCGAAAAAATGAAACACCAAAAACACGATTTCCTCTATAATGAACAAATCTAGTTATATCACACATAACATATGTTTGTAGTAGGTATGTATTACAAACATATATACATCTATGATTATATACATATATACATCTATGCACACATACATCCATCTATGAATGTATAGATATTTACATATATGCATATATGCACACGTGTATGTAGATAGGTAAATGAATAAATGTTTATACATGCGTGCGTGCCTAGGCCCAATATATAAGGATATTTCTCTTGGATAAAAAATTACTTACTGATTTAATCTAATCTAGTTTGACCTCTCAAAAAAAAATCTAATCTAGTTTGATATGTTTAGATTTATTCTATTATAAGATAGAAATCGATCCAAATTAAAACTTTCTTACATACAATCAATTATAAAAAAACATGTTGTACGTCTATCTCATTTATATATGACAACAGTACCGATGACTCGTCACCCTCATGAATTAACCACCGCCACCGAATGAAGGAGTTGCTTGGAGTTGGAAGTTGGCATTTCAAGATGAAATTGGGCTAGCTGTGTTTTTTTTTTACTTAAATTATATATCGATTTCGGTTACATAATTACTCTAGTTTTGTGTGTTTGCTTGTGTTAGTCTTGTAATATTTAGTTTTATTACGATTTCACCTTCTAGAACAAAATCAATCTTCAATATATACTCTTTCATGATTAGTGAAATGATATGCTCAATTCAGGTATATATTTTCTATGTCAGATCAAATAGTGAGAATGCATTTAGTTGTCTTGAGTATAAGAGGAAGATAGATATTGATTTTGAGTTTTGCCAACTTTTATTTTTTGTTTGTTCCAAAAAAAAAATCATTCCCCGTTTAATGTATATAATTTTTCATTCTGTGTATTTCATCTCTTTCATCTTCACAATCTTTAACCACACAATTTATATTTATCTTATTTTACATTTAACACAAGTTTGTCAATATTCAAAGAGACGAAGGTAATATAGTTTCCCACATTAATTTACGGTCCAATTTATATTTCATCTGTCTAAAAATGAGTTACGTTCCAAATTAACGATCGATTTAGTGTTTAATAAATGATAAAAATATTTCCACAACCTTATTAGTTTAATAATTAAAACTTACATATCTAGAAGCTACGCAAAAAATCTTTTTGATAAGAAAATATCAATAGAAAGATTGATCTTTATCCTCTGTCAACTTTGAAAAAATACAAAATCACTTTTGGGAAAAGGAAGTATTGTTTGGGGATAAAACCATTGTTCTATTTGCCAACTTTTATTTTTTGGCTACCCAAAAACCTTTTCTCTTCTCGATTAAGGACTTAATTTATGATTCTTCTCATTTATCTCTCATCTGCACAGACTTTAACCCCACAAACACTAGTGGAAAAATAGTGATTAGAGGTGCTTCAAATTGGTCATTAGAGGCGCTTCGAAGCGCCTCTAGTTTTTGTGTCACAATTGTCGTTTAGAGGCGCTTTTTGCACCAAAAGCGCCTCTGAAAACTATTACTATCCTCCGTTCTCTTTTAATCGCAACATTGGACTTTTTGCACTATTCATATATTCTATTTTGACTATATTTTATTCATTAATGTATTAAAAATTAATTTTTAAAAAAATATTACTAAATTCTTCTTGTTCTAAATTTTCAAAATATGAATTTTTTAAATTTTTTAGTAATAAAGAATGAAAGATATTAATGGTCAAACTTGTGCGTTGACAAACGTGAAATGTTGACTGTTGCAATTAAAAGGGAACGGAGGAAGTATTAATTATTGGCGTGCGGCGCTTGTGTAATCAAAAGTGCCTCCAATTTGAAACAGTTGAGGCACTTTTTTTCTTAGAAGCGCCTCTGATTTCAACATTTTTCAAAATATATCGAGGCGTTTTTTCCTCAAAAGCGCCTCCAATTGTAAGATTTTTTTTTTAATATTTTCTAGTTTGAAATTGCCT